GCAGGGGCAGTGCGCGAGACCCGCTATGAGAAGTTCCTGCGGCAGCACGTGGACTACCCTCGGAGGTCCACACTGGCGGCCCACCGCTACTGCGAGACCATGCTGGCGCAGCGGGGGGTGACGGCCCCGGGGCGGCCCTGCAAGCCCTCCAACACCTTTGTGCACGCACCGATCAACGAGCTGTTGGCTGCCTGCAGCCAGAAGCCTGACGCAATGGGGATCCACAGCACCCCGAGACCCCTGGACTTCACAGCCTGCCGCCTGCGAGGGGGGGACACCCGGCCCCCTTGCGCCTACCGGGCCCGGCAGCTCCAGCACCACGTGCTTGTCTCCTGCCTTGACGGGCTGCCTGTGCACCTCGCTGGCACCCAGGCGCCCCCTCAGTGAGGTTTGACATGGGGTGGGGGCTGTAGCTGGAGTCGTGGATTCTTCTTCCCACCAGGAGCTGGCAGGGCCTGCAATAAAGGAGGTGCCACAGGCCTGGGCTCTGGCATCATCTTCTGGGGGGTCCCTGTGATCCTACCCCTCTCTGGGTGCCCCTGAACCCCCTTGTGTGCCCCTGACCCCATCCAACGTGGACCTGGCCCCCCACGTGCCTCATAAACCCCTGGGTTTTCCCAACCCCCCTGGGTGTCCCATAGCCCCTAGGATGCCTCTGACCTCTCCTGTGCCCCATAGGTTCCCCTTTCCTGGGTGCTCCACAACCCCACTGGGTAACCCATAACCCTGCACCCCCAGGGTCCCCCTGATCCCCTGGATCACCTCTCACCCTGTCACTGGGCCCCACTAAGAAGAGTGTGGCTGCCTTGTCTTCATTCCTCCCATCAGTACCTATCAGTCCGCTGACAAGTTCCTGCTGCCGGAGCCTTCCCTGCCCCAGCCTCGAGAGCCCCAGCGCTCTCAGCCTGTCCTCTTAGCAGAGACGCTCCAGGCCCTTCAGCATCAGCAGCCCTTTGCTGGAGCCTCCCCAGTATGTCCATGTCGGTCATCATGCGGAGTCCCGCACTGGATCCAGCGTTCCAGGCGCCTCTCACTAGTGTTGGGCGGAGGAGCGCAGCCCAGCAGGCTTGCTGTGCTCCTCTTGCCCAAGGAGCCCAGAGAACTCCCGATGGAAACGCTGGCATCCAGGTGCTGTGCTGGGGCAAAAAGGCAGCCCACATGCACTCAGAAATTGTAGCTGGGGAGGAAAAGAAGTGCAACAAGTGGTCTTCCCGATCCTTTTCAGTTTCTCTCTGTCCAAAATGTCTCCTCCTCACGTGCTTTGAATAATTCGTGCGCTCCTTTTCTGGAATTTGGCAGAAAGGCATTTGGGGGGCCCTCCACGGACTGGTGAGCTCCAGCTCTCAGACCTGCCCCTGTGAGAAGAGCTCTACTCCCTGTACACTGAAGTGGAATTGGGCTATTTCAAGGGCATTTGTTGGGGCATTCCTGGCCTGGCAACTTCCAGCAGAGTCACTTCGCCCTGCTTCCTCCCGGCCGTGGGAGGAGCTGGGTAGGCAGACCCTCTCAGGTGGGAGTGCTGGGGGGCTCTGCAGGCTCTGAAGAGCATGGGTGAGGTGGCACCCATCTTGGGGAGACAGCTCTGGGAGAGCAGCAATGCCAGTTCTGGGATGCCCTGCATGCTGGGGCTACCTGAGTGTGCTGGAAAGCCTGGGCTCCTCCTGGCATCTCCCCTTTGCCTGCAGGGCAGCTCCACCCCTCTGACACGTCCCACTGTTGTGCTCTTGGTTCACACCTCTGCTGTGTTTTCCCCTAAGAAGCAACTCTTCTTCTTCTGCAGATGTTGGGCTCAGTTCTTTGTGAAAGCTAAAGGGAAAAAACAATTCAGCCACAAAGGAATCAGGATCATCCTGAGGGTGCTAGGACACCTGCTCTTTTGGGCAGCCAGCGGCAATGCAGGTCATACCCAGGTACCTTATCTTCGTGGCAAAGCGCCAGTTGATCTGCTGGCTTCATAGCAATGATCAGAATAGCTGTAGCTGCTCCTGCCATCTACAGAAGGAGATGCCAGGACAAGATCTGGCTCTGTGGGGCTTGCACATCACGTGAAAGGGGATAGAAGGAACAGCATGCAGCCCTGGACCTTTTTTTCCCATCACTGGCTGCTGTGCGTGGTCCTTGGAGCTGCACACCTCTTGTCTCAGGATCTCGGTGGTGTGGTTGAGGGGAACCAGCACAGGGGGTGTGACACCAGCCCCTGTTCTAAACATCCCAAAACCTGAGGAGGTACAAGAGGATGCATCTCCATCTGGCCTTGGTCTCAACACCAAAAGAGAGAAAGGAATTCCTAATGGAATTTTGCCTTGCAAATAAAATCCCCCCCTTTGGCACTGCTGGCACAGGGCAGGGCACAGGGCTGGCCCCTCACCCCCACCAAGTTCAGATGACGTGGCTGAGCTCAAGAGTTGCAAGGTTGTATTGCAGGCAGACAAGCGACTTGCAGAAGTATCACTTCATTTAATTAATTGCCAGTTAACGTACACTTTTAATTACTGATTTGGGTATTCACAGAATCACAGAAGACATAAAAAACCACAGGAGAACTTGTGGAAATGCCTTTCATCCCCCTTCCCCAGTCACAGCTTCAGACCTCCACAAGTGGGATTATGGCTGTGGTAAGACTTCTGCACTACCCTTACACTACGGGAACGTGGCCCTTTATCCAGGGAGACAAAAAGGCCTTTGCCACAAGCAGCAGTGGGGCTGTTTACAGACGGTGGTCAGCAAATCTGTTAATGGCAACAAGTAGCAAAAAGCCAGCATGGACTGATGCCTGAAAGTAAAGGAAGGTTCTTTTAATTTTTGTGTTTTAATAAACCGTTGCATTTGTTTCTTAATTCCTTTCTCATTCAGGTACTTTCATGTCGAGCCTACCACAGCCAGACATAAAGCCTCAAGGTTTGGGGTTGATTCTGCCTCACAACACCGCTGGGAGACAGAAACTGTCATCTCTTTTGTGGAGGGGAGTTAAGTGGCTTTCCTAAGGTCGCAGAGGAAGTCTGAGGCAGGAGCTCAGTTCAGGCCTCCTAAACCCTATTTAATGGCCTCTCTTCCCATTTACTGCTTTTCTCTGGAGAAAAGACAAATTGCACAAGCCTGACTTTTTCTTTAAAATAACCTTTCAGCGTACAGCTTTCACTTGGCAGCGTGTCCTGCAGCAGGTCCGTATAGGCTGCGTTACAACAGGCAACTGAAACTGTTCCCAAAGCAGCACTGTATTCCACCAGAAAGCAGCTGTAAGCCTGCTGGGTACTAGCCCAAAGCTAGCGTCTGAGTCCTATCTACTCGAATTTCATGCCCCGGGTTTGCTCTGACAGCGGTCAGCCTGCTCTTCTCACCTGCTGTACTCCCAAACCATTGATTCCTTACCCAGGAGCCGGGCTGTCGCTTGCTTGGTACGTGCAAATGAAGCAAATAACGCGCTCTCACGTGCTTCGCTATGGCTCACGTGCTCACGCTGAGATCCCGCTTCCACCGCCCGGCTTCTGAGGGTATAAAATGGGAGGCATGGGCAGTGGGTTAATGCTTCCAATGCTACTGTGGAAATTCGTTGCTGCTTTTTGAAAAGCAATGGCATTTTTGCAGAACCATAGCGAGGAATTGCTTAAGCAAGCACTGCAAAGGCCTTCAGAAATATTTACTCAGCAAAGTCAATACTGGGCTCCATGGACTTGGCGGAGTGAGTCTTGTGAAATCGGGCTGCTGCTGCATGCCATGCATGCCAAAATTGACATGGAAAAGGCTTCTCTCCAGTGCTGTCGCTCGCTCTTAAAATGTACCCTGTGCAAACACAGCAAAACACAGCTGGTTCCTCTGCAGCATTTGCTCTAATAATGTTTTCCATGGTGTTTTGGTCTCCTGCTTTCTTATAACCAAATAACTCATCCAAACAACGTGGTGAGCTTTCCAGCATCACGATAGCTTGAAATTCTCAGCAAAGAGTAGAAGCATTCATAAAAGTCAGACTTGATGTATTTTTAAAATCAAAACTTCTATTTTTTTAACAAGCACAGTTCTTTCTGTAACTTTAGACACCAATTTTGCTCTTTTGATTGAAAACCAGGCTAATCTAAATATTTTGAAGCATTCATCAGAGGAAGGGGAAAACCTTACTTCTTCTACCCCTCCAGTGTTACCTTTTTTCTTGCAGAAGCAAATTCCACAGTATTCCTTTTGTATTCACACTGTTCATTTGTCTAAAGCAGGTATCAACGGAGTCTAAAAAACAAAAGCATGCAATACTGCTGGTGGCATTGTGAGAGCAATAGCGACGGGCTTCACATCACCCTAGAGGTGACTTTTCAAATCACCTTTCAAGTCCGGCCCAAAACAGGACCTTCTGCTCTCCCATATGGATCATTTTAGAATGAATGTGCAGTTTAAACAGTTTAACTGCAATGACTAATTTCTACCATCACAAGTGTCTTTGAGTCCATTTAAAAAACGTATTTATTTATTTACTTGAAGAAATATTGTTTGGAGGGAACAGAGCTATTCCTTTATCTCTGGTAAATGAAAAGGCCCTGTAGATTGATATGAGCAGTGGGGCTGAAGGGCTCACCCTCCCTCATCACTGAGAAGTGGCAGAACCCATCCTCTCCTTTCTGTGACCAGGGGTTTAAATACTGGGATGTCCCCACCACTGCCCATAACAAGTGAGCCAGGAAAAAGTCACAGCTTTCTGTGAAGGACTGAACTGAGAGGAAGCCAAGAGAAAGGACCAAGCCTCTGGGAGTAGCTGGGGATTTTGCTCCGAGGTGCGTCCCAGCCTGGCACATGTGGCAGCTCAAAGAGGCTCTTATCACGGCTGCTCGCTCTTGCTGTCTTCAAAGTACGTGGTAATGGCCCAGGCGTCTGGCAGTGCAAATAACCAACCCCAACTTTTTCCACCTACGCACGAACCTTGGGACAGTGGTGCTTGAAGGAGTAAGCACTGACGAATGCAAAAACGGTGCTCCTCTTCCGGCAGATACCTGTGTTTCCTTGGCTCTGCTCTGATTTTTTGAGGTCCTGCCACATATAAAGAGGAGCCAGAGCAGCCCTTGGATCAGTCCTTTCTCCAGGCATCAGAGGCAGTTATAGAAGCAAGGTGCTCAATGCGCTGGGCAGACCTGCTTGTCCTTCTCCCTGCAGCCCCATACCGACTGGCGGCTTTCCCCTTTGCTGCTCTTTTCCATCACCTCTGTGCTTTCGGACACGTCTCTCTGACTGCCCGGTACGTAGTCATCACCCTTGCTGCCACGCTGAGGGCAAGTCATGCCTGCGGATGCTTTCTGGGGGCTCTCCTTGCCAGAGGTGCAGCGGGATCTGAGGCAGTAAGTCCCCACTGACTTGGGTAGGGACGTTCAGATGGGTAGGGACTCAGGTAGGGCTTGGACGTGAGCTGTCTCCAGTCCCCACTCTCTGCAGTGGGGCCAGATCGAGGATGTTAAGGATGAAACAAGCCAGACACTCTGTTGTAAGAGATGGGTTTAGGGGTGTACCACGATGAGCAAATGGGCAAGGGGAGCATGGCAGGGAATGGGGACTTTCTGTGCTGTGACTAGGATGGGGGCCAGGCAAGGCCTGCAGTATCTGGCCCAGTCCCTCCACCATTTCTGCTTCCCATCCCTGCTGGCAGCCACAATGGCCCTGGTGATCCCTCAGCCCCGCGAGAGGCCAAGCAGCAGAATACAGGGGGACTGTGGAGGCTGCAGGGCCCATACTAAGCCCCACTATCAACAGTCTGGCAGGAGTTTCATGCCCCTTTTTCCCCAAAAGGCAGCCAAAAGGCATCTGCTCTTTTCTAGGTACATATTCCTCCTCATTGGAGGATGTCTCCTTGCCGGCATAGCCATGGGCAGCTACGCTGTGTTGTTCTTCATCCCTGCCGCTGGCTCTGTGCTCATCCTCCTCTCCATCAGCCCAGCTCGTGCCCACACCTGGGTCTTCACCCTCCAGATGTCCTGGCAGACACTCTGCCACCTCGGTCTGAGCAACCAGGAGCTGGACCCACAGGATGCCAGGTAACCTCCCAGCTCCGCTTCCTTCCCATTCCTCCCCTCGGCAGGCTGGGAGGCCTCACAGCCCCCTCGAGTGCCCTCTCCTTCCAGGCCAGCCGTTGCCCTCTCTGCCATCATGCTGCTCACCCAGAAGGCTACATCTCTAGCCCTGGATGTCCATGAAGGGATCATGCCGCTCCAGCTGGGCCAGGGGTGGCTTTTGCAGCGTGCGCTGCCCCTCTGCAGCTACCTGATCTTCTTCCCAGCACTCCTCGGAGGTCCCCTGTGCTCCTTCCACAGGTTTCAGGCTCAGGCCGAGTCCTGCGGAGCTCTCCCCAGCCCTCTGTGGGCCACGGCCCGGCGGTGCCTCTGCGCGCTGGCCCTGCACGGGCTGCGCCTGGGGCTGCTGAGAGGGCTGTCCGGCAGGCAGGGCTG